ACTTATATTGATTTATTCAAATTCATCCTAAATTGGTTTATGAAAGATCCTCTAAGGTTTTAAACGTATTTTACAAAGGAATACGATTTGTGATTTTCTCTGTACATAAAGGCTTTTCATTAAAGATTTCCCTTTTTGATGTATACTTTTACTTGTTAAACACTGCTGCTTCACTTATACTTATTTTGTACTCTGACTCGGTAACACTTTCACTTATACCTATAGTCGCTTATACTTGATGACGCTTATACTTATTCACGCTCTTACTTAGTGATACGATTTCTCCTTCACTTATACTGGATAACGACTTTACTCCACTTATACTTGATAGACGTTCTTACATCACTTATTGTCGTCTCTTCTTCGTGATACACTTATACTTGGTACGCTTATACTTCATGGTTCGATTATCCCACACTATACTCTTATACTTCACGACTCAGATGTTCCACTGTACACTTATACTTCACGACTCAGATGTTCCACTATACACTTATACTTCACGACTCAGATGTTCCACTGTACTCTTATACTTCACGACTCAGATGTTCCACTGTACTCTTATACTTCACGACTCAGATGTTCCACTGTACACTTATACTTCACTGTATGATACACACTCAAGCGTAGTTAGATGTATGTTTATGCTTGTATAGATGCATATAAATAATGATTGAAGGACTTAGGAAGGCTTGTCCGCCCTATTTCCTTTTCTTCGTTGAGATGTGGTCTGGTGGGATCGGATGTCCATCTGAAGGTCGTTCGATTCATTAGTTATATATTATGTATACGAGCATAGACATACGAGTTTTCTTCAGTCTGTTAAGAGTCTCTACCTCTAGTCTACACTTACATTAGAAACCCACTCCCACTTAGTAACACATTATCCTCTATTTGGGATGCATCTTCGGGACGCGGCCTTCTCCGTTGTCTAGTTGGTAACCAGAGTCTCCTATAGGGAGAGCGGACATTGCGTGTATAGGCCTATACGGGATTGACAACCCCGCACCCTGACTGCTAGCTACAGTCCACGACCTACCAAGCCAAGGGGTGACAAATGTCATAATATATAGATGCTTGTAGGGCGTCTAGTACTCTAGTCAGTATGGTTACGAGTATCCTGGGTTGCCTTATAATTCATGGCTTTAAGGTAAACGTATTTCGTCAGCAATTTACACTGTATGCTGATGTCACCTTTTTCAAAGTCACACTGTTTGACCTTGCTAGACGTGTCTTTCATGTGATACTGTCTGCGGTCTGTAGTCACTGTTTTGACCTTGCGAGATGTACCCTTCATTTGGTATCGTCTGCGGTCTGTCTTCACTGTTTTGACCTTGCGAGATGTACCCTTCATTTGGTATCGTCTGCGGTCTGTCTTCACTGTTTTGACCTTGCGAGATGTACTTTTCATTTGGTACCTTCTGGGGTCTGTGTCTCCACTTGTTAGACTGAACCAGGCGTGTCGTATGTTTGATACTTTCCTGGAGTCTATGGTTCTTTGCCTTAGTCAGCAGTCCTCACTGCTGAGGCATATGATATTCCCTGATGTCGTTGCTTTCCTCAATAATCAAATTCAGTATTTTGATAATGATAGCAATTTAGGGAAAACTACTTTTTACTCTACATCACTGACCAGTCTTGGTAGAAGGCTGCTTTTATTAAAGAAAATATAGGATTTTCTGGAAATGACTCTAGTACACTGAAATCTTTTAAACTACTACTTTCTTAAGTTATTTGAATGAAATGTCATTAAATGCTTATGAACTCACCAACATTTGTAAAAATGTTGATACTCGCTTTTCAAATAACTTGTATTCTCAGGTTAGCATTAGACAGGTACATCCCCGGAGCTGTTGATGAAGATAGCTTTGTACCACGTTGTATTTATACTATTACTTGTATTACTTTAAAGTGTTGTAATGTAACCTTGTAAAAACTATTACTATTAATGCAATGTTTTGTTGTACTTTGATTACTATAATGCATGTGTTGTGATACTTGACATGACGTCATCCACCCCAGAACGTTTCCGCCGTTCCGGTTTTGGGGTGTGACAGTTTCATACATTAATCGAGAGAAACTTGTATGCATAAAAGAGATTATTAGGTGGTTTTGTTTCCCCTTTAAAGAACTAGAATCTTTATTTTGGAAATCTTTATGCTTTATGTCTTATACATATTGTTTTATTAGTTTATGTAATGTGACTTTATCATTTTCTTTTTGGTTTAAGATTTGTTTGTGTAGACATGTTACAGATAGATTCGAAGATGAATATGATGACTATGATCACTAAATTGCAAAGGGTTGTAAGTATTTTTCCTTTTACCTCTCTATGTTGTATGTTTCAATGTAGGGCATTCTCTGTTAATTAACTTATATTAAGTATTTCCATTGAATATTTAGATATGCCTTGTACTGTATCTTATATGAACACAATGTGTTGGTAACCCTCATACAAGTGCATTATATATATCGTTTTTTTTTCTGATACATTTTATTCTCGAATTGATACTAGGGTATATTGAGCCCAAAAGGTTAAAGTGCCCTTAGATGCTAACGAACTGGTAAAAAAAGGTTTGCATAAGATTTCAATTCAGTCTGCCATGTCAAAATCACAGGAATTACATAACTATTAAAATATAGTATGTGGAGAATCTCTAACTGGATGTGGTTATCTTTATTTAAAATGAAGTCCCTACTGGATGACACTTGAGGTAATTTGAGCTCCAACATCATAATATTTTAAAAATCAAATTTAAAGAATAGTTTATGACCATGTATTAATAGAAGGCATGTGTGAAAGAAATCATTATGTCAAATGAAGTCTCAAATAAGATGTGGCAAATACTACCTAATGAAGTCTACATATCAATTTCTATTGATTGGTTTTTTCTGAAGATGTTTAGGTTCTTTGAGTGGTTAATAAGAAACTTTGAATTAACACTTTTATTTAAATGCAGGTCAAATGTTAGAGAAGCATAATTGGAAAAAAAGACATTGAATGATTTTTTTGGCATATTGTTGGAAATAACAACACTTGTACTGTTTTTTTATCATTAAATGTAATATCCTCTATCTTATACCTATTTACAAATGAATGGTTGCCTCTTTTGTTACGTGTTATGGGTAACCTGATTCACGCTTATGCTATTGTCATCTTGACCTGTAATACCGCATGAACAAAGCTTCTCATTCACCTGTCATCTTCGATACTACAATTGGATCCAAAACTTTGTATACATTTATTTGCATAAAGTTATTACGTCCCCTTATGGAGTAAATTATGTGTGGTATCCCATGAGAAAAGCCCCTTATTCACCTGTCTTGGAGATGACTACTATTTCCTCGATTACCTGAACTAGTTAGTTCAATGATGTAATTGAAAGCTTGATTTCAATATTTAATAATGCAACTGAAAGCACATTGTTATATTAGTGTTATATTGAGAAAAAGTAATTGTTTTTGGACCATTCCAGGAACATGAGCAAAATGGTGCAAACGTGAACTTGAAAGTTAAATTTCAACAGAAACTTGAAACTTATGGTGTTTGCAGTACATAACTTCTTATAACTTTTATGCTTCTAAATTATAGTAAAATAAAAAAAATATTAAGTTTGTATAACACGTGATTTGTTTAGAATAAAAGATGAAACCTCAATTATTTATGACCTTATTGCATGTAATTGGAGATTTTGCTCATTGGATCTTCGCAATTCTTTTGTTTTGCATCATTAATGACAAGACTCAAGAAAGGCGGTAGTGGCACATATTTATTTTAAGTTTTACTATTATTAAATTGATTGTATTAGTAATCATCAATTATAATACTTGATTTGGTTTTGATTTTTATGTATTTTACTTATTAAATTTGAGACAATTTAAATAATCAAGACAAATTTGCATACTATAATCACTTGTACGTTTTTTTTTGCATGAAATGACAATGTATTTCATTAACATACATAATTATAACATTATACTTTCAAAGTATAATGCTTAAAAAAATAATTAAATTAAATTATAAAAAGTAAATAAAACTCTAAGTAAGATGTTATATTAGGCATACAAATAAAAATACAGTGCTATTTATCGAATTTAGACCATAATTTGGCTAAATGCAAGAAATAGTGCTTAAATTAAGATGCTTTGTTATCCAGATAAAAAAGTAACTGTAAATATATGATTAATAATATGTTTTTGTTATTCATATATGTTTATTTCAATAACTTAATTTTCTCTAGTTTTCTATATGCCAATTTCCATTTATTTCATTGGTTGTTTTATTTTTATAATCAATTTAACATTTCATTATACAATATCATTATTTTTTTCATTAATTCACAAATAAAAACTATTTCATATATCTTGAAAAATAATTTCACATATTTATTTGAATCAGCAATTATAATTTTACAAAAATAAAAAAAACATAAATATTTTAATTAATAATTTATTAATAATTATGAATTCTATAAAAATCTATTTTTTTTTTCAACCTTTAACCTACTAAAAGTAATAAATATATGCTGGGCTTGTGGGCCGCTACGTATATAATAAGCGCCGGACCGATCAAATAGAAAGTGAACAAACTCGAAAGTCGTAAAAACGCGAATGCCCTATCATTTTTCATTACCTTCCCGCCAAACAACTACAAAACCCTAATTTACTATTCTCAATTTCATTCATTTGATGTAAAAGGTAAAGTATGATTATCCGATCTTCTGTATATTCTTCAAATACGATTTACGGGATTCTAGTTATCGTTTGCTAAACTTTTTCTTGTTTATATCTGGAGTAATCCATATGTCCGATGACAAAAAAGATGATTAGGTTACTGCTTGGTGTTTTGGATTCCCTTTAACTGTTTTAATGTGTAAATTTTCTGATGTTTCTTGTGTGTCAACTGTTCATAGTGTTTAATTCAAGTTTGGACATGATTTCAGGTGGAATTGTATATTTGGTGCAAGCTAGGGCAAACTGTTAATTCGTAGGAGTCATTAATGGAGGACGAGAAGGATGCGTTTTACGTTGTCAGGAAGGGGGACATTGTTGGTGTCTACAAGAGTTTTAGTGATTTTCAACCTCTGGTATCACCATTTAAATCTTGTTTTCCTTTTGTTGCATTCTAGTTTCTATAACAAGGGTTCTTCCAATTAAATTGCTGACTAGGGTGATCTGCAATTTAATGACCAAGTATGCCACTTAAGCTAACTAATGTAATTATCGTAACCTAATGCATATAGTTGATATGATACTTGCACCATTTATTACATTTTCAGCTCATAAACTATACATGCCGCTTATTGTACTTTTTGTTTACTGTTCTTCAGCTATATGGTCCCAATGTTGCTGTGTTTAAAGGTTATCGATTGCCTAAGGCTGCTGAGGATTACCTTGGATCACATGGCCTCAACAATGCAATATATTCTGTTGGTGCCTCTGATGTGCAAAATGATCTTTTTGGCCAACTTCTTCCCTGTCCTTTTCAGGTTAGAGACTTAGAGAGTTAAACTACTTGATTTATTGAATTTGCTTGATATAATTTTTCCAGATTAATCTCTTAGAAGCATAGTTCTTTGAACAGTAATACTTTTCAGATTTAAGACATCTTATGATTTTGATTTTGTTTCAGCAACCATATTCTATTAAAGACAAAGCTGGTACAAGGAATCCATCTGAGAATAAGATAAAGGTAATGCTTTAGTCAAAATTGTAACATTTTGCATTTTTTTCATCATTATAACTTATTTTATCATGTATCTTTCTACAGAAAAAAGTCGGATCAACTTCTTTTTCAGAAGCTCCTCAGAGAAAGCTACCTGAAATCGAAAGCTTCATGGAGACTCTACCTGTTTCTGCTTATTGTGTGAGGTTTTATATCACTTAATCTTTACAGCAACAATCTTGTTTCAATGAACTCCAAAAAACCAGAAAAAACAAATAAAAAAAAGTGTTTTTCCATGGTTAGCTGACACTAATTAATCATTTCTACTCTCCATGGTCAGTGTTCTTGTATTCTTGAGTTTGATGGTGCAGCAAAAGGAAACCCTGGACCAGCGGGTGCTGGAGCTGTGCTGCGTGCAATAGATGGAAGTCTGGTAAAACATCACACACTCGTAATTATAATAATATTATATTTTTTTAATATTCGGGTTTTTTGAGTATGAAACTTTTATTAGGTTTATCGTTTGCGAGAAGGTTTAGGTGTTGCAACAAACAATGCTGCTGAGTATCGTGCAGTTATTTTAGGACTGAGATATGCTCTTGAGAGAGGTTTTAGGCATATCCGTGTGCAAGGAGACTCCAAACTTGTTTGTATGCAGGTATACTTTTTTCCTTTTTTATTTATGTTTCTAGTAAAAGTTACACCACTGCAAATTGATATGATAGATTAGAAATGGATAGAATTGTAATATATGCCATGCTAAAAACTTCAAAAATAAATTAGTAAATGGAACATGACATTCCTTTTGTGGCTAATGATTAAAGATGTTGCCTTTAAGATCAAAATCCACATTTCCTTCACATGACACTTTATGGAGGCCTTTTTGTAACTCTTTATTGTGTTTGTATTTGAAATAGAAACCTCTGCTTCCTACCAAGATAATGACTTCACATTTGAAGGAAAATCACATATTCTTAAACATTCAAGTATTGAGCATAAAGATTTCATATATATTAATGTTAATTTAATAAGCTACTTATAAGGAAGTAATTAGAAAGTAAATATAAAATAGGAGGTGCATTGAAACATTTTTAAGGTTTATGTTATTAATGTGGTAAGTGTTAAGAAAACAGGTGAATGGTTTGTGGAAAACGAAAACCCAGAACATGACAAGCTTATGCAAAGTAGCAAAGGAGCTGAAAGATAAGTTTGCATCTTTCCAGATCTGTCATGTTGAAAGGGTATGTATGCATTCAGACATATTATTCCTTCAGATCAGAAGATATTATTGTTAAAATGAATCCTAACAAGTTTACCTTATATTATATGAAATGAAAGGAGTTCAACACTGAAGCTGATGCCCAAGCGAACCTGGGAGTACATCTCCAGGGTAAGAAGGTCATTTCATTTTTTTATTTTTGTTAAGAGAGAGAGAGAGAGAGGGTTTATAATTGTTGTATCTGGTGTCTGTCTACAGCTGGAGAGGTTCAGGAGGAGGTTGACAGGAGATAGTTGAAAGAAAGCTGTGTTTTTGTTTTGGGATGATAATATAATAGGAAAAACTTTTGTGTAGTTTAGCTTCAGAATGAATGAATGTATTTATGAAGCTAAGCTAATAAGCTTCATTAGTGTACTTATAAGTTGTTGAATCTGAGGTGAATGTGTAGGACCTAAATGTTGTCTTAATCATTATAGTTTTGTTGTTTATTTAAGAAGGCTGAATGTCAGAAAAGCACAGCTGTTTGTACAATTATTGAAAAGGCACTGTTAAGTACGTTCCTATTAAAGCCCTATTTATTAAATCTCTCTATAAACGTTCTCCTAAGGGTTTTTATTTTGTTTTATCTTTATTTTTAAATGCCTATAATAAGTTGTGTTTAATTCATGGGTTTAAATAGTAAATATAAGGGAAATTAGGTGATCTAACTATATAATTTAATGTTTATTTGAGCATAATAACCCAAAAAGTTTGTTTTTAACAAAATAATAATTTGGTCCGGAATGTGTATTTCGTACAATTTTTTTTTTTCTAGACCGGCATTCCGGATTTCAGCCGGATTGAAATTTCAATTTTTCAAAAAAATACAACCTTGTATGTCAAATATTAAATCCAAAATCTTATGAATAATTATGGAACTTTAAGATTTTTTTTAAGATCTAAAGAAAATTAAACAAACATAATAAATGTGAATTATGTATGATATTAGTGTATAAAATCAAACAGTTTATTGAAAATTGACGATGAAGTAGATATTTCTGATGTAGGTGAGGATATTTATAAAAAACAAAAAATCAAAAAAACTATGGAATTTGAATCCGGAATGCATAACATTATTTGAAAAATAAAAAATAGCAATAAGAACTCTAGAATATAAACAATAGCTCGGAACATGCATTCGGGAATAAATGAATATTTTTAAAAAATTGCAAAAAATGATTATAGACACAGGGATAATATGATTAAAAAAGGGATATTCAAACAATTTAGAAATAGATGAAAAATTTTGTTTCTCAAAAAAAGAGATTCAAACTATGTAGAAGTAGACGTTCCACGATTTTAGACACAGAGATAATATGGTCAATTTTTTTAACTATTATAATAATAATTTTAAGATATAAAAAATGATTATAAATTATTAAAAATATCGTAAAAAAACATTTGGACAAATTTGATATTTTGAAGGTTTATAAAAAGATAAATATGATATTAAAAAATTAAATTGAACAAATATGATATTTTGATACATATGAAATTCTTCCTATAAAAAAGATTATGAGAAGGTTTTAACCGGTGCAAACTACAAAGTTGTGTAACTACTTATTAGGCAACTTGTTAATAATAGATTTTGATTTTCTTATGTTTGTTCAATTTTTTTAGAAGAACAAATCTAATTTTTCTCTAAATTACTTTTAATTTCATTTATGTTCCATGACATTGAACTTTTGGCATCAAAAGAAAAAACTACATCTAATAAGCTTTTTGGTACATTTACTCATTTACAAATGTACTTGGCAAATTACGTAAAAACATGTGTCATTTAATTCTCACATATAAAAATCTAAAATTTTAATTATATATTGTGAGTGACAATAAAATAGTGAATCTGATGATGATTAGTTAGTTAGATACGAAGCATGTATATATGTAAATTATAGGAGGTATGTTTATTAAGATCAAAAACACTAAAATATGTCTAATTGAGTAGCTATAGTTAAGTTTGTTAAAAATATGTGAATATGAGTAGCTGTAATTTCAAAGTAAATTGTATAGATAAAAAAAAAATACTAACTAGTTTTTTAATTTACCGGCTTATCGAATATAATAAAACTCAACCGAGACCAAACACAAAATAATAATCTATTTATCATTCTTATTCGTATTTGGGTTAATTCAAATTATATGGTTACTTTAGAAATATGAATAAAGAAAATGATTTTTTATATGTAAAATGTAAAATAAACACATATAAATATCATAATTTACATCGGTCGTGGGTAAAACATCACCGGTTGTACTGTGCGGAACTTTTGTTGTACCCTGTCTACAAGTTCGTTTGACGATAACTCTTCATGGAAGTGGATACTGGATAGGGTGATATCAGTTCAGGTCCTTTTTCTCTACTCCCCCGACATCGGTTCTCCATTGATTCAGTTTTGAAGAAGAAAAAGCATCAGAAATGGCGTCTTTTTCTGCATCTCCCTCCATATCTTGTTTCACAGCTATCAAACCCAATAAAAACCCTACTTCCCTGTTGCCCACTTCTATTTCTGCTAGCACTTTCTCATGTTCTTTATCCAATCGACTTCGGGTGGCCCGTGTTTGTTTTAGCATTCCCAATTCTTACCCTAATTCATCGGTATCCAAGACAAATTTGTCAAATTTGAAGAAGATAAGATCTGTTGCTGAAGATACAGTAATTCCCGAACAACAAGAAGACACCATCAGCAACCAAGGAGAAGTCGAGGCAACCGTTTCTGTTCCAGTTTCTCCTTCCGATATCCTCACCATGTTCTTTCAGGTATTTACCTATTTCCATGCTTTTATACCTAAAATTTACAACAAGACGCATCCGCATCAAATTCTGCAATGCGTAAGTTATGCCACATGTTTACTGACCGAGTCTTGAATGCCCTCCAACTGTTTGATTTTGGTTCAAAGAGGAAAAAGATGGCAAACATGTTTAGCTTCTTCTTCGAATAAAAGTATCTTTCTATAGATACTGAAATTCAATTGCAATTGAACACAATGATAGAGTCATAGAGACGTTGAGTATCTATAACAACTTCATCTTGGATTCATAACAACATTTAGCTAGATTTTCTTGCATATCTTATCATAATCATCCAATTTGCTTTGAAAATGCTAACAATCTTTGATCGTTTCGTATATGGAGGCCGAGGGAACAATGAGTGAAGCAGCTATTCCTTCAGTGACAAGTGCTCTACAGGTAAACATTATCTTCAACTTACATCAATTGATTTTGTGTATATCTTTGAGGCATCTGTCTCCAACCTCTGATATGTTTATATGCAAAATGTTCATCCCCTTTTTTTGTTCAGGAGACGGAGGGCATTTCAAACTTAAAAGTCCAAGTTCTTGAGGGTATTGCAAGCGTTGAGGTGAGCTGATTTTTTGTATATATTGATTTGACTTTGAAATTGACAATAACATATCAACACATACCCGATTCCTGTTTGTTATAGTTAAAGAAGAAAACAACAGTGCAAGCTACTGGAGTGGCTTCTAATCTGGTTGAGATCATACAAAGTTCTGGTTTCAAGTTACAGGCACTCAATTTAAGCTTTGAGGATGACTATGCCAATTAAAATTTCTATTTCATTTGTTTATTTGGAATCTTTTCCTCAAAGTTGTTGAAATTTCTTGCTGATACTATTTTTATTTTTCTTTTATTTGCATTGAATTGTGTTCCGGAGTGATATATATAGTTATGGAAATATTTAGAGATACCATTTGACCCACAATAAGGTATTCAGTGTTCTGCTATCAGTTCTGCATTAAAGTTTGTACCTTGTTCATAGATTCTTGAACCTTATTTAAGATTGGTGTCAGCTTCGAGTCACATTCAAGTCGTTGACTTTTTTTTACAATTAGATTTAACACCCCATTACCACAGTCATGAAAGAAATCATAATGAAGGAAGAAAGGGTATCTTGATGAATTATGACAGAAAATTGTTTTGATAGTATACAAATCTCCAAAATTAGAAAACAAAACTCTTAATAGAATTAATTTATGGGATCAGAAATCTGATTTAGTTGAAGGAGTCGCACCTACGGCGGATCTGTCCACTCCGGCCAGTTTTCACACCGTACAAACTCAGCTTCTCAATTGCTCGACTAAATGCCTCAAAGAACTTCTTCTGGTCTCTTGCGTACAACTCTACAAACGGCCGTGTTCGAGCATCCATTGTGAGTGCCCTATCCGATCTCAAAACCCCCAATCCCCTGGGCAAGTTTTTATAGTACGAGTTATCGAAGTCTCGTGGGGTCATTATGTCGTTAAACACCGATAACGATGGGTTTTTCTTGTAGTCGGCACATGCGTTTCTTAGCCCGGCGGCGTATCTTGGATTGTAAGACGGATCGGACTGTGCTGTTCTGCTGTAATTGTAAATGTCTGAGCTGAATTCACTGCAATGAGAGAATCCGATGGTGTGGGCGCCGGTTAATGCCACCATTTCCTGGACTGAAAACCCTCTGGATGTGAAGATCTTGATGATTCGATTCATGGACATGGTTGGTTTTGGGAGGATTAGTTCGGCGCGTGAGGCTCTGGACACCACTCCGTCTCTCCGGCCGAGTTTCACGTTGTAGAATGGCCCACCCATCATCGTCACGAGGTTGCGCGTGGCGACAGCGAGGATGTCAGCACATGAGACAACTCCAGGGCAGGAGAGCTCGAGGGCGGTTTTAGCACGGACGACGACGTCGAAGCCGTCTCCAGGAAGGGAAAGGTTGATGTCGGCGTCACGCTCGGCCTTATTGAAAGGAGTGGAGGAGATAAGAACGGAGGCGTCACAGCCCTCGACGAGGCAGTCGTGGAAGAAGAGGCGTAGAGCTGCGCCGGCGGTGGTGGGTGAGGCGATCTGCTTGTTGGTGGTGGTGTCCTGCATTATCTGTTCAAATCTGGGACATGATTTCTGGTAGAAAGTGGTGGTGAGCTGCTGAGAATGTGAAGATGCGATGAAGAGTGAGATGCAGAGGATCAAACTCAACGGGTTTACTCTTATCGCCATGGCCGAGCTTCTGTGTGCAAGCTTCCGAAGTAGCAGACGAGCTAAGAAATGGCATCTCCTTTAACGAGAAGGGGTTTTATGCTACTGTTGTTTTCACTTTCTGTCGTGTCAATTAATAATTATTATCTTTCAAACTTTTTTTTTTTAATATGAGTTATTGTCTGATGTTTTTATATACGTGAAAATAATAAAGTGTTTTTTATTAAATCATATTTTTATTTATATTCGTTAAAATAATGAATTTATTTATTAATCGGGGAACGGGGGAGCGTGAAGAGTAATTTCGACGATTTCTTCTCTCAGACTGCATGCGATGCCACTAATCACGGTGGACAACACGCGTTTTAAGGTGGCGGAGGGGTAGTTTTGTAATTTAAGACAAAACTTTCCATGTGATCTCCAATTCTCCTTCATGTGAAGGGAGACAGCTGTTGGGGATGTGTTCCAATGGAAAGCGCTGTACACGTGGATTCGGAGAGAAGCATGATCCGACGGTGGTAAGTCAACCTTTCAAAATAAATATAAAAGTCTAACGTTCACAGAAAAATTACAAATTTACAATTATCTACAGACATTTGTCAAACGATATGTTTATTCTAAGGAAATTTTTTTAATTAACGATCCAACGTTATGTATTTTTTGTAAGCTTAATGTTGAATTATAGTAATGGACCCGGACTACGTTCACGGTTCATCCTTTTGGCTTTTAAACCATAACATTAGAATCATAAGGTCATGTATACGTTCCATGTTAAAAATATGGTGGTGATGTGGCACATGACCACAGTGTGCACACTACTCGTCTGTAGCGTGATGGTTGTAGTTGACACCACACCTTACAATGCACCGATTCTATGTCTTTCTTTCTCTTCTTCTCCCCCGCTTTGACGTCAAGGCTAAACTTGAAGACCATAATGACATGATCGTTTTAAACATAATTTGGGCCCGTGACGAGAATGAAAAAAACAGCCCTTATAATACATGAACTTCATCAACATTTTTATAATAACTCACTAATTGAAAAAAAAATTACCTATACTAAATATAACATTTTCCGCTACAAAATCCAAAAATTTAAAGAAAAATATTACTAGATTTTTGAGATGCAAAATCATTAATAATATCTTCAAGATCAATCTTGTCTACAATATCTTTTTTTATACATAGAATTATCAAGCCGTTCAACATTTCTTGTGACAATGATGACCTTAAGTAATTCTTCAATAACTTCAACTATGAAAAAATCCTTTTTGCGGATGCAATAGTTACAAAAGATTCTATATGCAATACAAATATTTAGGTAACAAACTCCAGTTTTAACAAATTCTAAAATTTCAACTGCAAATGTAATATCATTAGGAAGAGTCTTTCGCAAAAGTTTTAATTCAGTAAAAAGATCATTTGAATCCACATTAAAAAAAAAATTATTAGAAAAAGTATTTCCAAACTTTATACAACACTCTTTAAGCTTATTTTCATCTAATGACTTTAAAATCTTGGAATCATATAAAAATCCAAATATACTTTCAAAATACTTTAATTGTTCAAATCTTGTATTTAGTGAAACAACTGCAATATCCATAACAACATAAAAGTAACAACCTTAAAATACTCTTCCGGTGATTGTATTTCTTCTTCTTCAATATCACTTTCATCAAACTGTTTCTTTCTAGTGACATGACGCCTATATGGAAATGTAGGTTCAACACTCATTTCTAAAGCAATCGTTTTAGCAATATTTATGTTTGAAGCAAACCCTTCATTTCTAAATTTCGTAAAAAAATGCCATTATATTTTGTAATTGCTTAATAGTGGCATCAATACAAATAGATTTAGATTGCAATTTTTTATTTACCATAATAGCAAATAAATTTTCTTACCAAATAACCATACTAAGTAAAAATTCAAAACTCCTAATACCTTTAACTAAACTTTTGGCTTCACTTTTTGATTTTGGGTCATCACATGATTTAGCTAATTCTAGCAAAGCTAATCGTATTTGAGGAGTTTGAAATCTAAAAGCTTTGACACTTTTAATTTTATTTTCCCTACGAGTATTAGATAAAGACTTTACAGTTAAAGTTGAAACATTATTTAATAATATTTTCCATCTTTTAGTAGAACTAGAAAATAATGAATATAAGCATTGAACAATACCAAAAAAAGAAACAACTTTACCACAAGAAAGTGCCATGTCACCAACGGTAAAGTTTAAACTATGACAAACACATGACATATATAAAGCTCTAGGATTAATTTCAAGAAATCGTTTTTGAACCTCTTGGTGTGTTCTTTTCATGTTAGACCTATTATCATAACCTTGATCCTTTATATCATTCACATCAAGATCTAACAGTTTAAATGCATCTAATAACTCATTAAAAGTCTCAAACCAGAAGTATCATCAACTTTTAAAAATTCTAATAAATATTCATCAACTTGTATTTTGTTAGAAGACAAATTCACACATCTTAATTAAAGTCATTTGCCCTTATGACTCACATCCAGAGTACAATCAAGAATGATAGAAAAATATTTAACTTTAATTATTTTAATGATAGAACTTCTAACCGTGTGGTCTAAAAGAGAAATAAGTTTATTTTGAATTTTGGACCAAGATAATGATGATGAATTTCTTGATTTTCTACGCGTCTAACATGATCTTGCATTATACCATCAAATTCTACCATCATTTGTATTGCTCCCAAAAAGTTGCCATTACTATCTTCATAAAGTTTAGTGTTAGAACCTTAAAAAACCAAATTATATTTAGACAAATATTTCACAGTAACAATTATTCTTCTTAAAACTTGCCTCCAACGCTCTTTTCCTTTAAAAATTTTTGTTGTAAATCTTTATCAATAGTAAGGTTTTTATTCAATCTTTGTTTTGCTTCATTTCAAGAACTCATACAACTCAAATGTTCATTACTACTTTCATGTTTTTTAAGTCGAACACTCAAATATTTCCAATCATTATATCTGTCATTTGCTAAAAAACCTTTTTGATTAATAGATTTAAAAAGTTTACAACAACAAAAAAAAAAAACACTTTATCCAAAAAGTTTGAGTAAAGTAGC